CAATTCTTTGCGAAGCTATACAATGATAATGATGTTTTAAATAATGATTTGTAGGGTTTACGAGAAAACATCACAGTATAAAGTGTAGTATTATAGTATATAGTACTATACTACACTTTACAGCATTGATAATAATGGTAGCATTCGAAACACTAAGATTTAAATAAAACGACTGATTCAGGCCTGTACTACATCTAACATTTTAGAACTTTTTCAAATTTGAATGATTTCTTTAAGAATAAATAAATATAATCAGATGATGCAAATAAATTATGTTGTGCAGCTTCTGTGTTCTCATAATAACTTAGATATAGTGTATTTCTAAGTATAAAAATGAGATGGTCACAATGGGGTTGACATATCCAAAAAGGATAAAAACCCCAAAACAAATTCGGATTAAAAAAAAAATAGTTTTGATACACTATATGTCATTGATATTCCCCATCTCATGAAATGAAAGCTTTGTAAATAAATAATTAATATTGATTGATGTATTAAAAACACCATTAAAACATGATCATTATCCTCCTGCCCTTATCCCACCTCGGTGGGGTCGGCACTATATGTGAACCATTGGTATTGTTTATTTTTTTTACGACCAGCCGCCTTCCTGACGGCAACCAACCTTGGGAAGCAAACACCCAGATCCGCAACAGATATCTATCCTAGCCACACCAAAACTTGCCTCGTGTGGAAGTCGAACCCATGACCTTGACGCCGAAGCCAATAGATCACGCCGCCATCAAGTTATCTGCTTTAATACATTAAGAAAAAGAAAGTCGAACTATTCTTAAGAAAAAAAAAATTGCTTTTAAAACAATATTGTATCAGTTACTATGCTTAGAAATATTTAAAAAAAAAACAAAAATTATTGAACTATTTTAAATCCATGTAAATTAATTTCATTAAAACAGTGTAGTTGTCGCTTAATATACAATTTCAACACTGGCTTTCTGTATATTTGAACTTTGTTTAGAAAAGTAGAGTATTAAGCAAAATGTATAAGTGTGCTTTCATTGTTTGTAATCGATTCAAGGCTCCATAATTTATTTTATCGCCTTTGATATGGGTCGTCCATCCCCGTCTATAATTCATGCAGGACAGTTATTAGACAATGTCATCCGTGACGAATAGAATATTACAGTATTGTTCCGCACCAACCAAACATTCTATATGATTGTGTCTTAACTGTGTTAGCGATATTCACAGAATTCCTGACGGCAATAACTGTTAGAGTCAGCACAACATTGGAGATAATCGATGGCATTAATAAGCAGTTGTGGCCTAGCGTTGTGGGCTGTGGGATTTTCAAATACCAAAATTATGACGACCAACTACTTTGGCGTACTATATGTGAATACTTTCTGATGTTTGTGTTGAGAGAGCTAATTTAGGGACTACTGGGGATTTTAAATCAGGTCGCTCGAGTATATTGAATGCAAAACGTCTATTCGTAGAGCTATAACGGCTTACTGAAATAGAAAAGTCTGATATTATTCATGATCTGATTAACTTAGAATATGTAACATAGCTCATAAAATTCATTTCATTTTAGAGTAATCTACACTTTTCATTCTTTTATTCTAATATTTATATGTGTGTAGTTATATAGTATTATAGTGTATACATGGCACATACATTAAAGTATTCTCAATGGTCGCATAATATTTTCTTGCTTTCTTTGCTTTTAAAATACGAGTAATTTCTATATAAATATTTTAGTGCGACCTAGCGTTGTCGGTATTTCGATATTTTTAAATGCAGTACATGACGGTTGTTTTCGCATTCCAAACGTTTCACCTGCCGGCGCAAGCGCAGACCGCGTCCCAATTTCACGTCCTTGCTCTAACAATAGATTCCCTATAAACGTGCCATACTGCGCAGCGTGTTTACGTTAAGGTGGGACATTTGACGATTGACGTTTTAATTTTAGTTGCCGCCGCATATAAGTTGAAGTTCAGCCATTGCGATTTTACATTAAATATATTGTTTGGTCGAGGCGCTGGTTTGCAATATGATCAACAAGTCTTCCTCGTATTGTGACGTACGTAGGTGTCATACTGTCAACTAACCGACTTTTCACAAGCAGGGAAAGTTATTTAAAGACTTTTAGGCCTATTTTTGGTATTAGGGGAAGGGGTAGGGGATCTTTAGAACATCCCAAAAATAGAAGATATAGAAATAGATAGAAGGTTTGACATTATTGTGAGTAATGTCAAACCTTCTTAGTTGATATAAGTAGTAGTTATCTCTATACAGCGTGTCGTTACCATCGCGACAATAAATGAACACACATATAGGGGATAACTTTTTAAAGTTGTATTAAACATTTAAATTCTTTAAACATCAATATTTACAAACAAAGAATTTTAGAACACCCTAACCTATAAAAGCGTAACGTAAAGTTCATTTGTAAAGGTCACAAAGTATATGAATGGATTGAATGAATTTAAAAGAGACAAAACATACTGTTAGAAGGAGAGGCTTGTAATGCGACGCTGTGGCGCGAGTTGTATAGGATGTTACAAATTTTGTTTCTTTTTTACTTAATTAGTTTGTTTGAAAAATATTTTTTTTTTAATTATGGATTTTGTTTAACGTTAATATTTTTTAATGATTATTGGCAAGTAGCGTTAGACGTGTGTTCATTTATTGTCGCGATGGTAGCGACACGCTGTATATTATTTCTCCAAGGTCAAGTTTTCTACAAGATCAAGTTTTCTCCAAGATCAAGTTTAATGATTCATATATGATTTTAAAGCTTAAAGTTACCGTAATTTCTATAGATAAAATAAGTATAATGAAATTAGTGCTTTTCATATAAAAACTTTCGTTTAAAAATTTCTCACAAAGACGAAGTACGATAATGACATCCATTGGCAATTATTCGTCTAAATGAAAGATATCTAAGAAAGTAGACTAAAAGACATTATACCTACTGCAGAATAAGATAAAATTCATATATAAATACTTATTCACATTCATTATTATTTTACTTTTCGAGGATCGATCACAGATTTACAGTGCGAAAATTTCGTAGGGGTCAACTAGTATAATATATTGCTAAAACACAGCCTTGAGTGAGGCACCGGAAATTTTTTTGCACTGACGTCGTATATTTGGAAACGCAGTCAGTGAAAGTTAGTGTGATGAGAATTAACGTCGTTGTCGTTCGTATTAGCTCGTATACATAGTTAAGATAATAATATAATTTTGTCGAAATCTTCTTGGACCTAGTTACATAAATATTGTCTGCCACAAGAAATGTAGCCTTCATAAGGACTGTGTTTCTGAAGAGCCTTAAGAATCCTAACGAAAACATTATTCAACAAAATCAAGGAATAATATTGCTAAACTAAAGTTTGATTAGTTTCAACGTCGAAAGTTTGGCGAAATGACGATAACCATGTAGGTTTATACCATTTTTTCAACCAAATTATTTTCACCCCGTAAAAATAAGCTAATAAAAGTATTCGAGGAAAAACTCGGGTGAAGCCACTTTTAAAATTTTGTGTCAAAATATAAGATAATTTTTTACAAAAATAACTGACTTCAAATCGGAAACTAAAAATCTTCAAAGATTTCTCTGGGATGCCATCATCAGATCCGGGTTTCCTTATTATGGTACGACCCTTGGGATATGTACTTTGCAACAATAAAAGAGTCATCAAAATCGATTCATAAACGACGAAGTTATCAACGAACGAACATAAAAAAGAATATATACGGTCGAATTGAGAAACCTTCTTTTTTAAAGTCGGTTAATAACAATACACTCTAACGTTAACGATTCTTATTAAAATTATTAATAGGGTATATGAAAAATTACGAAAACGATGGAACATTACATGTTATAGAATTTAGTCAAAGGCGCGTCATAGTCTAAATCGAATGCTTTAGTAGGAGTAAGCGGCCGCAGTTAGGAATTAAAATAAAACCTGGCACTAAGCCATCGACTATAATTATCGTAAGAGTGCCAAATATCTGTCGCTGCTCACCGTCTCCTTTGTCAGTATTTATCCACTAAATTATAATTTATTTTGGCCTATTAATAAGTAATTTTAAGATAAAGTGTTGTTTTATTTACAGACTGACTCTACTATAAAATAGTAGAGCTTCTCAACAGTCTGTTATATACAGGGTGATTTTTTAGACGAAGTACATACTTTGACACAGTGTTAATTGAGCATTCTATAATTCAAAAAAATATATAAAAATAAATAAAAAATATAAAAATATCAATTCAAACATTGTTTATCCCGTTAGGAGTGGTCACCCTATTGTTAAGCGGTTTAGTAATTATGTGTTCAGCGAAGAATTTTAGTGCTCGTGAATATGTTATTGTATTGAGACGGTAAGGCAGGAATTTCTTAAGGTGTCCATAATGTTTGAAAAAAATTTTAAAAACTTTGAAAAAAATGAGGTTGCAAATACGTACCGGATTCATATTTAGGGTCAAATTCTGTAAATGCTCTGTTAATATGTCCGTCGTCTATAAAATCACCCTGTATAGGGTGGTAGGGCCACGCAACAGTTTTCATTGTCGCACGAATGGGCGGGCTCGAACGGGGATGTACCACGACCTCATAGAAGTCCGGCGTGAAGTGGAAGTGTTACACTTCTGCGTTTCTTCTCGTGGGTGGGGTAACCGGGGTCCACTTTATTAAATTGTGGTAACGTATCTGCAACAATACGGGTGCAAATGACAATGTGCGGTGGTTCTCACATAAAATAAAAGCAAATTAGATATAACACTTTTTTACTTATAACAATAAAGAGATTAAAATTTTTCTATCATATATTTTAAAGTTATCTATCACCTCTTCTTTTTCTACGTATTTTAAAATTATCTATCACCTATTGAAATTGATGATAATTAATTTCATATCTACTGTAACCATGTAAATGTGTACTCGACCTTGAACAAGAAACAACCTAGCGTTAAATTCCCGTAAAAATGTGTTTTGATCGAATAACGAAGATATGATCTCATTTCACAGCTGCAGTCTACTTGCCGGTTCGATGCGGAAAGATTTTTAACATTGTTGCTCTGTTTTTAAATAATCTGGAAAGATGGCAGAGAATGGGTGAGTCGTAGCATTATAGTCGTCGTAGTATAAGTAATTTTTCATTCTGCCAATCGTATATAAATTTTGGATAATCATTCCTATTTGGACCAACTGCCGGGTACAATTGTGTGGTTAAATTTATGGAAAGAGCTTTATTTTTTTAGAAAATAGCTTTAAAAAGTTATACTTCTTTAGCGTAATAAAAGAAACATATTAAAAATTTATAACATAACTGAAAATTCTACCTCCTATGCCAGTAATGTTTGTTTGTGAAAAATATATGAAATGCAGTTGATAACGGTTATAACTAGAAATTATAGCAGATGTTACAAAGTTGTTATTGGTTGCCATACCACGCTTTTTGGGGTATACGCGCTCATCGTAAAATTTTACTCTCATAATTTTTCCAAACACGCCAAAAGAAGTATAACTTCAAAATATTCAAAGATCATTTCAGGTAAAATAAAATAAAATGTGATTATTATGAACCTTGATTAAATTTAAAGTTTATGTAAAGAGTTAATACCGCTCGTTGGCATAAGCATAACGAGAACTTTGGCTACTTTCCAGATACGGACCATCGGCTGTCACAGGACATATTGGTCGAATTCCTAATTATGGAAAAACACATGTTAATGTAAGTAAAACAGGGATTTCATGAATATAAATACCGGTTTATATTTGTCTAAAATAACTTTGAAAATAACCTTCCCATTTCACATGCTAATATTATACAGTAAATATGGGAAAAGTCATTGGACTCCTAATAATGATGAAGAATCAAGTTTAAAATTTCTTAAATTTGAAACTAAAATTATCTTAATGTAAATCATCATCATCATTTCAGTCCGTTTGAGTCCACTGTTGACCATAGGCCTCCCCACAGACTGCCTATAATAATAACTAATGTAAATACGATGTCATTATTGATAATGTCCATCTTTTAATTCCTTTTATTGCAGCCTATGGGAAATGTTGAGCCACCTGCGTGCATCCAAAACGCAATGATGACGAAAGACAAGAAGCCCTTCACATACACCCCTGGTGGTCTCGACTTGTCACAGATCCGTACTCCAAGCATGGCCAGGAGGCTAGCGAGGCAGCGTTCAATGGAGGAGCAAGAAAAGGCTTATGCGCCGCAACAGCAGCAATTTAATAACGGCGGTAACTACCAGCCGCAAGGTATCCCGGCGCCACCGCCACCGCCGCCATCTAAAATACCAGTACCACCGCCACCACCTCCTTTAATAATAGAAGCGCCTAACGCAAAATCAGCGAAACCGGTACCTTTAGGTGAAAGGCCCGAAATCGTGATCCCGGAAAACCCCATCGGTATGCTTCGAAAAACTAACAGCCCATACCACTGGGAAGCGGAGAAAGCGGAAATGTTGCGAATGGGGCCGGTCCCGAAGTTCGTGGACAAAGTTCCGAGTCCATTGACGGTGAAGCTTCCACAGCAGCAGATGCAACAGAACTATTCTACGACGGGACAGAATGCACAACAGAGACGGAATTTCCCATATAACAATCAAAGCAACCAAGCACCTGAAAGTCCTATTTATCGACCGGAAGCACAATATGGTCACCATGCGCCGAATTCGGCTAGCTTAAGCGGATCTCCACAGACTCGCGAAATGTTATTGAGGCAAGACTCACAATTCAACAAAAGCCCACAACCATTTGCAGGTCAATCACCACTCAGTAATGGTTCCCCGTACTCGCCTACACCGAACAATAATTGGAAGCAGCCCGAAAAGAGGGATTCACCTGTCAACAAAACAAATAGCCCCCTCACGCCACAAAGCAACCGTGGGCCGTTTTCGCCAGTGGCTCAACAGAGCTCACCGAATTATTCCAATCAATCTCCACCAGTTTTCCATACATTGCCCAGAACTGGACAAAGAAACCAAGAATCGATAAATAATAGTTTGCAACAACAAACAGCTCAACCGAGTCCGAATATAGAGCAAACTAGTTATCCACCATGGCGTACGAATACACTTAACAGACATCAGAGAGGGGAGAGTCAACAAAATGGTGTTAATAATTATAATGCTAATCAGCAACAAGCTTATAGCCCTCCGTGGAAATTAAGTGACGCTAATAATAATGCGTATATTCCGCCATGGAAACAAGAAGCTAGAACACCGGCTGCACAATGTAATCCACCATCATCCAATCAGGATTTTAATAACAGAGCACAAGAAAACTCTACAGCTCCTTGGAGAACTCAAGACAGCTCTCAAAATCGAACTGTACCCACGTCAATAAATTCGCAAGACCAACCTCGTTATCAGTCCACTATCTCCATCCCAGTCTATGGAAACCAAAGAAAACAAAACCCACCACCGGAATACAACAGCTCCCCGAAAAAAGAAGCTGTTTATGTCAATCAAGAACCAGTGTTTTACTGTCCTGATAGTCCAAAATCGATGCCACCGTGGGTGAAAACACAAAAAGAAAAGACTAAAACACCGCCTCCAGCCTGGTGTAGCAGACCTTTGGAAAGTAGAAGAAGCGCCCCAAGAGATTTAGTGACGCCGCCGAGAGACACAAATCAGGAACCCGAATGGGTTAAAAAGAGCAGTGAAATGCAAAGGGGTACGCGTGAAGTTGTCAGTCCGCCTAAGTATCAGCAAACAGCCCAACCAAATTGGTCAACGCGTCCTTCGGAAAACCGCAAAAGTGTTCCAAAGGACAGCACCACTAACAACCAGGGCACGAGGATAATTCCTATTCAAATGGAGGTGTCAACTACAGAGAACAGAAGCCAAAGCCGACCGGGAGAGCGGCAGCAACCTCAACTCAGGATAGTTATTGACATGAAACAGAATCCTGACGCCCAATCTCGTGCGCAGGCACCATACTCTCAGCCGACCCAGCGTATCATGAGAGTTTTATCACCACAACTAGTTAGAATAGACGATGGACCAGCGCAACACGAGCTCCCAACGTTGAACAGGAATTTCAGTCAGGAAAGTCACTCAAAGACGCGTATTATCCCTATCCAGGTTGAAAATAGTAATGGCGGTGCAACTAAAAGGTAATTTAAAAGTATTAATTTATTCAGAATATTTGTCTGTCAAAACTCTATTAAACCTTTGTAACTAAAAAAATAATTTTACCGTCATATAAAAATACAGAAAATTAAGGAAATCTTATCATAAGTAGGATTATTTAGGTGTGTATGTTATGCCCATAGGAAAAAAAAACCACCGTAACAAAACCAGCATGTGCGTAATTGTTACAAATCTTTGTAAATGTAATTCTTTCCATCCTCAGCTTTGGAGATGGTCCGTCCAATGCCACATGCCACGGTTTTATTGTTGATTTTATGTAATATCGTGAAACAATTGGATGACTTTTTCAACATATCATAGGTTAAGGCAAATAATAAACAAGTGTACTGAAATAAATTAGGCACAAACTCCGTTTCAGCTTCGGTGGGCGGTACTAAGGGAGCTGTTTGCACTGGTTCAAAGTAAACACTTTTTTTATTGCGCCGCTTGTAAATCTGCGATGAATCAGTGTTCCGCTTGCTTTTATATTTAGCAACATTTGCGAACGCTCTAATTTCGTTTACCTTACTAATGTTATTTCCAGTGTGACCTTTAATTGCCCTCGTGTAAATTGAACCACGGACTGTTTGGTTTTTTAATAAGCTACTAATCCGTTTATTAAAACTGTATTATTGATAAATATAAATAACTAAACCGTAATTAATACGTACACATGCTTGTAATCATTCAACCAACACGTTAAATCAACACGTTATTAAAATACTAAAATTATATCGAAAGTTTTAACAGGGCTGTAAAAGATAAATTATCTGTGCTTGGAGACATTAAAGATATCGAGGATTGTTTTACTATGAGCTATGATAACATTTTTTTTTCGGCGAAATTTACCGTCATATTCGAATGATATTTTTCATTCCCTGAAAACAGGTATAAAAGGACATTTTCTAAAAATGAAACCTAGCTAGATCGATTTTTCGCCCCTGATTCTACGCACATACTTAAATATCATGAAAATCGCTGGAGCCGTTGCACATAATATGAAATATGTATAGTGATTTTTAACCAAATATTTTTTCATTACTAATAAATATAATGATTACTTTTACCGTGACTGTGTGACCTTTTGGGTATTTCTTACATTACGCATGTACGTTTTTCACTTAAAAAGTTCATAATCGATACAGAGACTTATCCCACAGTATAATTACTAAGTAAAAATCTTCAGAAGGCTTTACGGGCTCCGTAAAAACTTTTAGTTTTAGTTATTTTTATTTTTAATTTTTAGAATAGATTACATTATTTTTTACAACAAAATGGTTTTCGAACGAAACGAACGCGTTTTTGATTGTGGAACGACTGACTAAAATAAATAAATGTTGAACATAATTTATCTTAGTTTATTACGGCAGGCTTTAATCGTTATTCGTCGTAGTAACTAAAAATTTTTACGAATCTATAAAGCTATGAAAAATGTTGTAATCGATTTGATAATCTACATTAAATCTAAAATAAACATTACTTTATTGAAATTTTAGTAGTATTTAATACGACGTAGTGTTAATGATTCGTTTATGTATTGGCGCTACTGTTCAGTTTTGTAATAAAAAAGAAAATTCGAAATTGTTTGTATTGCATATTCATCAAGACCCTACAAACAAATATGTCTTTATAATTTGTTCTTTATGTATTCTGTATCATTGTATCCATTACAAGATTTCATTTTTTTTCGTGGTTTGGTTGATTCCGAATATTTTCCTTTATTAATTATTTGTAGGCTGTTTAAATTAAAAAGTAAAAATATTTGTAATGTAAAATGTACGTATCACTTTTAGACGGTAATAAAGCAATAATGTAAAACATTAAGGAAAAATAAACTTTTTTAAAGTAAATGTTACCATTCTACACTTCAGCACTATTAAAACATTTCCCTCGTACAATTTCAGGGTGCACTACCACAAAATCAGCCAAGAGGGTCCGCCGCGTCAGTCGAGAACTTTCAAAGTGCTGCAAGTGATGACCGACTCCGGAGTAATTAACTCGAATAATGAGCAAGGCTATACCGACTTTTAATGTTTAAGAAAGTATTGTTTTATTGATAAAAATTAACATAACATTTATATCTTAAGAAATCAAGTCAAGATTTTTTTTCATCGGATAAATCTATAAAAACGTTTAACTACATTACGGTCGAAATTATTTGTTTAATTCTTACCACTTTGTTAGCTAGTAATATTTAATTTTAAGTAAGCTAAGCACTATTGTACTAATTATTTCGTCATATTAGAAAAGCATTAATCTCTGATATTGTTTAATCTTTTGACATTTTTAATGAGAAATATTATTAATAGGATTTTATAGGATTTATATTTGTCCGGTCCCTGTATCTTTTCGTACCTTATTAATAATTTAGAGCTTGCTTCTAATATGCACGTTGATATATTCAAACTTTATTCAGTTCGAAAACAATCGATTACAGAACAAATAGATCAAGTGATTCGAAACGCTTAACAAATGGCGCGGGTGATGTTGCCATGAGATATATTTTTGGATTTTTTTTTGTAATTTAGTTTTAAGGGATATAATTAGTATTAAAATAATTTTCTTTTCTTAATAATTGTCTTTTTAAGAATATACATCAATGACGGGAATACGTGCTGTCTTTTGTGATGTTACTAATGCTCATAACTTAAGAATACGGCTAAATTACCAAAGAATGTTGTAGAATACACAAATATTTGTTTCTAGTCTAGTAACGTAACAACTTAGCTATACTTATAGTATTAAATTGTATTTTTTATAATGGAGGACAGTGACAGTAAGAATTTCATTTTTTAAGTGAACAGTTTTTGGGTAGTTAGCGAATGAATTTAACTTGTTATAACTCGTGTATATTATCAGGTTTTTGTCTTAAACAAAATACTATTTCTTATGTATATTAACTCCTTAATAATTTATGATGAGTTATTTACTTTATTTTGTTTAAATAAGAATATGATCTTTCCATTCAAATCAATTACTTTGATACTTTACTAATGGATTATTTTAAGGTAAATAATGATTAATAATTAATATTTTCCTACGACTAACAATTAAAAACCTAGTAAACGATGAAAAACTTTCAATAACAGTCCCCGAATCCCGGTTTTGTGTTGTTATTAACAAAATAAAAAGACCGTTTCTCATTACATAGTGGCATAATTGAATGTTCATCACAAAATAAAAAAGAAATAGGAACTGTTTAAGGTAAGGATAACAATAATTTAAGGTAAGGATACGATCACAATCACATGGACCTTTTTAGCTACCATTCCAGGGAGCCGCATAAAGAAATTAATTAATTTATTTATTTAAGTAGATACAAACGTAAGTTACACATGCATTGAAAAAATTGTAATGAAGATTACTACAAAATATTGTAACTAACATATAATCTTCAAAACATTAACAATAGATCCCAAACTAAGCCGTGCTTGGAGCCAGAATGTTAAGATATTTGTGAACACTTGGAAAGAATATTCTAGGGTCATAATAGTAGATTTGGTCGGATGATAATATAACAATTGATGCCACTATTAACGAGAAGCGACTTTGAATACAGACAAGGGGTGTGGCAATCTAGTCAGAGTGGTCTTCTCTAAATTGTTTATTTATAAACTTATAATTAAAGTTACTTACTGATAATTTTAGTCTTAAATATCTTACGCTTAGTTTATCAAATATAAGATATTCAATAAAACTATTTTCAACTAAGTGCCCGTTTTATTGCTGATTTTAAACATCCTTTAAATTAAAGTAACATCGCGTCATTGGGCACAATTAGTTAAAAAAAATATATAGTTTCGCCTATTAGGAGGTGAATTAGTGAATAGCGAATATTTTTCTCGTTCTTTTTATTATTTTTCTTTTAATTTTTCTTTAAAATTTACACGAATACTATCTGTGATTTCTTCATCTTCTCAGTTGCCTAACTAAGAGGATGGCATCACGAGAGAAATTCTATTGAACAAATTAGCGAACCCAGCAGGAAGAGATTTAAAATATGTTTTTATTTACTTCAAACTTATTTATTGAAACTATAATTGATGTTAGAAACCTGAAAATTTGAATTATTAAATTTTGTTGTCGATGTATTATAACGATATCAAACTAAAAAAAAAAACATTGAGTTGTATTATCGCAATCTTGACTTTAAACCACCAAAACATTAATTACTATGCAAAATTTTTATTATTACTGTATTAAACATATGAATATGAATGTACCATACTGAATTAATTATTGTATTAAACAATTGTGTAGGCAAATTATGATGATAAGTTTGTATTGCTTTTAGCATTACAACCTTCTAAATCTCTTGATCTTTGTAATGTTAAAGTACTTTTCTCGTAAAGACTGAAAACAACCAGTGCACGTACAATTTAGCACGTAGTGTGCTCCATTCGAGAATTTGAATTCCACGGTATTGTTTCTCGTTAGTAGAAACATTTGTTTAGTTAAATGTTCGCTTAGTTTATTTTGGTGCTCGAGAAACCTGATTGCTGCTCCGTATAAAATAATTGTTGTTAGAAAGTCCGTAAAACGGCACTAAAATGTATCCCGATAGTTGAACGGCGTTCGAAACTATAAAACGATTTTAGTGTGTTTAATTTCTATTTACATTTCGAATGACCCGAGGCAGCCACGGCGATGAAAGGCTAGCTTTCAAGAAATCTAGCGTGCTAGTATTAGTGTAAAGTTTTGTGTATGCGGTATTAAATACCTTAGTTACATAAATGACGGCTACATGTGCCTATATGAATTGTTTGTGACACATCTATTGGCGGTACATTATACCACATGACCCAGTGGCGGCGTTGCTAAGCAATTGGCTTCAGCTTCGTCGCTTACGGAATGATTCACATGTTGTGGCTCATCTAGGTGGGAGGATGATGATGACGTACAGGATTTGAATAAAGGCGGAAGGGCCACGCAACTGTCTTCTCTCTTTGTTGGACGAAAGGACCGGTCCGTTCGGGTTAGTATGACGACCGCATAGAAGACCGGTGTGGTGGAAGAGGTCCCACAGTATTGGGGATCATTTTATTCAAAGTTGGGAACGCATCTGCTTCCGTACAAATGTGCAAACAAGCTGGCGGATTCGAGGTTAATGGAATCGGATGTAATAATTAGGGTGGTCTTAAATGTTTTCACAAACTGCAGACTGCTCAAACCAACGGTGGTTCCCGTGAGCTATGTATTCTTGTAAACGGTCTTCAAGAACCTTTCTGCTTGTTCTATATAATATAAATAAGTAAGAAACGTTGGGTAAGGAACAAATTTAATCGCTATAGAAACCTTAAAACACCTTCATTTACAGTATATCAATATATTCAATAGCTAGTTATATTCAAATCTTTTACAGCAAAATTCTTTTGATAATAAATTATTTCATTTACTTAATACTAATTGTTTCAGTTTTTGGTTCACGCTTCTTTAAAGACTCCTGAAGACTCCTAAAGACGACTGAAGAGATTATAATAACAAAAAAAAAATCATGACTTTATCAAAGCGTATTTTAAGATGTTAAACGTGCAAAATTCCTGCCTACTCTGCACAGGATTTGCCCGTATCTATCACGGGAGGTTTGTGAGAACCGACAGAATTTATGGCGATAGCTTTGCAATGTTCCAAGTAATAGAATTCTTCAGGTTCATATATTTCCGGGTTATTGACTGGAAAACTTTTATTATGGCGCTAAATACGGGTATGGCATGAGTAAGACGTTTCGGCAAAAGTGATAAAGTTTCCGGTATTGAATGTTGATTTATAGTTGTACGTTTTAATTAAATTAGTATATTTCATGTTGTTTTGTTTTTTCAAGACTACTCTAACAAAAATGTATAAAATATGCTTGTACGTCAGGAATACCGAGTTTCTGGAATTAGCTATTACATAAAAAAAGCATATACGAAATTCGAAAATTAAACTCTGTTGGGATATATATTGGCGAAACAATTCCAAAAGAATCCACGATTAATTAAAGTCAACATTTTCCCAAACAGTTTCATTTTATGATTCCGTAATTGCATTGTTATTAATTTTTATGTATGTTCTAGAAACTTTAAGTATACCATACATACCATTACACTGAATAATAAACGGGTTCATCTGGATTTTGTTTGTTCGTTTAATGTATTGGATTATGTCTGGAACCAACACAACGACAACCCAAAGACGGGGAAATAATAATGAAGATATTGATAGTTTTAGGCTTAGACTAAGGATTGGTAGATTTCTTATATATGCAGCTTTCATGATATTTATTTCCTTCACCGCTGAGCAACGTGGTAAATCGGCATTTGAAATTTTAATTAAAATCTTTATTGGAGCCGGTTCTGGGATTCGAATTCCGATTACTTTAGTAAAATGCAAAAAAGCAAGCACGCTAAGTTACTTTTACTTTTGCAAAATCATTCACTGGCCGGAACTTGAGCAGTAAAGTGTCTTTTTCAATTTTATGTTTAGCAGTATTTTAAATTCTTTGAAATGTTAAGGATAACGATCAGATTAATGAAATAAAAAATTTTCATCAGAGAAAATTTAGTTGTTTGAATGGCGCGTTAGAGTTAAATGACATTCGCGGAATTAAAATTTGAGTAAGCTGAAGAATGGTGAAACTTTGCTAATTCCTCTCAACTCTTTCCGCTTTGCTCTGTGTTGGACTGGGCGAGTTACAAAAAATATGTAAAATCTCAATTTACACTCGACGGAATTCGCAAAAGGCAAGTACGGTGCAGAACTCACTCGTAATAATTTGCTTCTGTACTTATGAACTAGCAGCGTATCGTTCTCTTTTCGAAATTATTCCCATACTTCACCGCCCTCGCCACTTTATTTAAAGTTATTTCAGAATACGAAATATCGCGGGGGGAGATATTTTCTTTCTAGAAATTCTTCGAGTCCACGTTGCGTTGCGATGCAATTTCCTCTTGTACCGCGAGATTTCCAACCACCACTCTAGCATTATTTATTCTGTAAACAACGGTATAATGTAACAATCGTTTGATGTTGTTAGTTCGTTTTATATT